ACGACTGTTCCAAAAGTCGAGCACCGGATTAGCAGTCACTATTGCTCCACTTTCATAAGACCACCGTAAACTTGTCTGACCGCGCGTCCGTACGGCACGAGATGGGATTCTGTGATGCTGGTCACAGGCGAGCGCTACTTGCTGTGCATGCGTGCTGCTATCACGTAGCTGGGGTTCTAAATCATGGCTGGCCGCCTAGCCCAGTTATATAGAAACGTTTCGCGGGGCTCAGTTCAACCTCACACAATAAAATTTATTGATTTGAGTAGCCGATCAATTTTGTCGACAAATCAATACAATACGAATTGAAGTTCCGGACAACGAAATCGATTTTCCAAAAGGGACGAAATTGAAGGTCTGAAGGTTGTGAGGAAATATTGTACACAAGTGTCTCCTGTAATTTTAGATTCTTGTCATACTTGTCTCCCTTGCTAGCCTAGCGTCTACTTTATGATTACTGTATTGATCATTAGTTAAGAACCACTTGTTAATAACTCTTCTTGAGTTATCTAATCCTAACAAATGTGTACTCGACGAAATTGAAAGTTCTATGACAAATTCGAAGGTTCGAAAGTCGAAATTGAAAGTTCTATTAACACGAACTTGAACTTCCTATCGACTTCGGACGAACTTGGATGTTCTATGACGAAGTTGAAAGTTCTAATTATGAATATGATCTTCCCGTTTCGGATTCGTACCTCCAACTTCGCGCGTCCCGACGAAATTGATAATTCCAAAAACGAACTAGATGTTTAAAAGGTGTAGAGCGACTGTGTGGCAATCACTTTGTTTGTAACTTCCGAAGTGTGGGCCAAGGTCGATGCTGAAGGACGATTGAGCTCGTCAGCTCCACATACCATCACGACTCAGTCATGATACATATGCCGTGAAGTCACTAACTTCACTGGCGCAACGCTCCGCTAAGTCCCTCCAAAATTTCAAGATATGAAAGTTACACAAGACTTTATTTTTTATTCATTTCGTGACTTCTTCCTGAATCTCCCATGGCAGTAAGGGGGGTGGATGTCGATGAGCTGGTGAACACCGTTGGTAAAACACGAGATGAGATACAGAATGTAAAGACTAGCATAACAGCAGTGGCAGGTAGTAGTAGTAGTAGTAGTAGTAGTAGTAGTAGTAGTAGTAGTAGTAGTAGTAGTAGTAGTAGTAGTAGTAGTAGTAGTAGCAGTAGTAGTAGTAGTAGTGGTAGTAGTAGTAGTAGTAGTAGTTGTGGTAGTTTTGAGAGCAGTAGTAATGGTAGTCGTGATAGAAGTAGGCTACTACTGTCACTACTGCTATCAGCAGTAGTAGTAGGTAGACACTGGTACGTCTTTCTAAGGTAAGCTGGCCCATATAAAGCAGCTAGTAGCGGCCACTTCTCCTGGCCAGAACAATGGGGGCATGGTAGACATTCAAGTTGCCACTGTGAAGGGCATGGTAGCTAGAGCTAAGGATGATATACAAAAGTGATACACGTTGCTCGCCCAGGGTGAGCCTCCTGATGGTAGGTTCAAATCCTCAGTGAAGCAAGCAGCAGAAGAGAGGGCCCAAAGCGGAGCCCTTAATGTTAACGCGTTCAGAAGGCGGATGGCTAACGACGATAAGTCCCGATCGTTGTAGGCAAGTGTGGCCCCTTGGGGCTGCCAGTGATAACTCGTGGTCATTCGAGGGTTCGAAATTATTCATTAGGAAATGAGGGTGCGTATATCTCCAGGGGCCGCTCTAGCTTTGAGAGATAACCTTCACCAGAGGTTGATAACAGTGGGAGATGTTCCTATTCAAAAAATGAGTTCCAAGCTGTGTGGAAATTTCGAAATTAGTTTCCCCCCCGGGAAGATTATAGGTTATTGGACGATTCACTGATTATATCTGAAACTGATATCATATGAATGAATAAGCTTGACCGAAAAGAACACGTGGCGATTCGCGAGGCCCCTCCCATTGCTCGTGGACAAGGAAGATAGCTGGCCATACTGCCTAGGTATGAGAGGATAGGAGGGGACTTGGCCATTGAGACGGCAGTTGACCTCATGTACAGTAAGGCTGTGACTGACTCTAGGACCAGGTGGGAATA